GGACGCGCAGGCTCAGCGGCCATGGCTCACGGGCCCAGCCACTCCATGGCATGTGGGATCCTCCCGGACCAGGGCACAAACCCGCGTCCCCTGCATCGGCAGGCGGACCCCCAACCACTGCGCCACCAGGGAAGCCCTGGGTCTTGTTTTTGTATCCATTCAGCGAGTCTGATTTGCTCCTTGTCTTTTGGTTGGAGCATTTAATCCATTCACGTTTAAGGTAATTATTGGTATGTATGTTCCTATGACCATTGTCTTAATTGTTTTGGGTTTGTTTTTGTAGGTCCTTTTCTTCTCTTGTGTTTCCCACTTAGAGAAGTTCCTTTAGCATTTGCTGTAGAGCTGGTTTGGTGGTGCTGAATTCTCTTAGCTTTTGCTTGTCTGTAAAGCTTTTGATTTCTCCATCGAAACTGAATGAGATCCTTGCCAGGTACAGTAATCTTGGTTGTAGGTTCTTCCCTTTCATCACTTTAAGTATATCATGGCACTCCCTTCTGGCTTGTAGAGTTTCTGCTGAGAAGTCAGCTGTTAACCTTTTGGGAGTTCCCTTGTATGTTATTTGTCGTTTTTCCCTTGCTGCTTTCAATAATTTTTCTTTGTGTTTAATTTTTGCCAATTTGATTACTATGTGTCTCAGCGTGTTTCTCCTTGGGTTTATCCTGTATGGGACTCATTGCACTTCCTGGACTTGGGTGGCTATTTCCTTTCCCACGTTAGGGAAGTTTTTGACTATAATCTCTTGAAATATTTTCTCTGGTCCTTTCTCTCTCTCTTCTCCTTCTGGGACCCCTATAATGTGAATGTTGTTGCGTTTAATTTGTCCCAGAGGTCTCTTAGGCTGTCTTCATTTCTTTTCATTCTTTTTTTTTTTTTTTTTTTGTGGTACGCGGGCCTCTCACTGTTGTGGCCTCTCCCGTTGCGGAGCACAGGCTTCAAACGCGCAGGCTCAGCGGCCACGGCTCACGGGCCCAGCCGCTCTGCGGCATGTGGGATCCTCCCAGACCGGGGCACGAACCCGTGTCCATTGCATCGGCAGACGGACTCTCAACCACTGCACCACCAGGGAAGCCCTCTTTTCATTCTTTTTTCTTTATTCTGTTCCGCAGCAGTGAATTCTAGCATTCTGTCTTCCAGGTCACTTACCCATTCTTCTGCTATTGATTCCTTCTAGTGTAGTTTTCTTTTCAGTTATTGTATTGTTCATTTCTGTTTGTTTCTTCTTTAATTCTTCTAGGTCTTTGTTAAACATTTCTTGCATCTTCTCGATCTTTGCCTCCATTCTTTTTCCGAGGTCCTGGATCATCTTCACTAACATTATTCTGAATTCTTTTTCTGGAAGGTTGCCTATCTCCACTTCGTTCAGTTGTTTTTCTGGGGTTTTATCTTGTTCCTTCATCTGGTACATAGTCCTCTGCCTTTTCATCTTGTCTGCCTTTCTGTGAACGTGGTTTTTGTTCCACACGCTGCAGGATTGTAGTTCTTCTTGCTTCTGCCGTCTGCCCTCTGGTGGATGAGGCTACCTAACTGGAATGATCTTTTTAAAAGCCAGAATGGATGACATTTCTCCCCACTCCAACCTACCCCAAGATACACTTCACGCCCTTGCCAGGACCCCACATGACCGGCCCTGCCTCTCGCTCCCACTCCTCCCCTCTGTCTCGCTGGCCCCCAGTTTGTTTCTAGGACCTGCCAAGAAGCTCCTCCCCAGCAGCCTTTGCACTGGGGTCCCCAGGCTGGAACTGGCTTCTTTTCCACTCGCTTAGATGCCTTCCTGGGGAGCCTTTCCTGACTGCATGACCGTGGTAGGTCATGCGCCCCACCCAGGCCCTCTTGGGCACGTGGTCCCATCACATCCCAGTTTCTTCTTCTTTTGTTTTTTTTTTTAGGCCACACCATGCGGCATGCAGATCTTAGTTCCCCGACCAGGGACTGAACCCGTGCCCCCTGCATTGGGAGCATGGAATCTTAACCACTGGACCACCAGGGAAGTCCCTCGTCCGCTTCCTAGAGCACCTGCCAGGGTGCTCACTCACTGTCTTCCTGCACCTGCTGGAGGGCCGGGGCCGGGGCTGCTTCGCTTGCCCCGTCTTCCTTCAGCCCTGGCCCAGTTGGCTGAAGAGAGAACCCAGACAGCCTGTGGGGTCTGGGCTTCCACCCCCTACCATCTCCACATCACTTACGGTCAAACACAAGTCCCTAATCCAGTCTCCATAACCAAATTTAGCTTTTCCAAAGACTCTCATTCCTGAGTATTTTGTGTGCCTTGGGCTGTCGTGTTCTCCGAGGTCATCTGAAATGCTCCATGAAGACTTCAAATTCGGAATTAGGGCTTCCAGGGGTAAAAGTCTTCTGATTCTGTCCTGTGTCCAAGGGCTAATGGTCAGTTGGCCCTCTCCTTGTGGAAGTCAACGGACTGGCCACTAGGTGTCGCCACACACAAAAGAACCAGAGCCCCAGGGCCACACCCACCCGCTCCCCTACCTCCGTGCTACTGCCCCCTCACCCCCCACCCCCTCGGCCCCCAACACAAGCCCCCCAAAGGCCCTTCTGGTTCAAGGCTTCATAGTGGTCCTACTGTCACAAACCACCCCCAGTCCTGGGTCCCAGGGCAAGCTCTATCCCCCCATTTAGGGGCCAGCTCTACCCAGGCAAGGATATGTCTCTGGTTTTGCTGGGCGTCCCAGGACCTCGGACGCTGGCTTCAGAGAGGTTGAGAGCCCCTTCCTCACTGTCCTTTCCTGACCAGCCAAGCTTCCTCCAACAGGAGTATGAGGGCTCAGAACCCACAGGAGTGTGTGTGGGTGCCCGTCTCAATCATTTTACACGGGGTCTATTTCACAGAACTTTGCTCCTCCCAACAATCCTACCCTTGGCGTCACGTACAGACCGGTTCTGTTGCACTGTAGCTCCACTATCCCTGGGGACCCACCACACTCACACTGTGATTACCAGGGGGCCTCACACACCCAGCCGTGGGCCTGGGGTGTCGTTGGTGCCTGGATGGGTCTTTGGGGCCAGGTCACTCCCTGTTCACACTTCCCTGGCAGAGGCCAGTTCTTAAACTGTTCCTGCTTGCCTTGGGAGGACTCCTGCCCTTCCTAAAACTTCTGGTCTTCTAGGATTCTTCGAGCTCTAGTTTGAGCTGACTCCACCCTGCTGCCTGACAGAGAGAACACCCAGGAATGGGTCAGGGCCGACTGCGGTGTGAACACGTGTTCCTGCCCTCCACACTCCAATCCTGATGGACGAGAACACTGGGACCTGTTTACATAATTCCGTCCGAAACAGAAGCTGCATCAAGGGTGCCAATGTGAAGGAAATAACTGAAGAGAATCACAATCAACCCAAACAACAACGACCTTTCAGTCACTGGTAATGCTGCAAGTGTATTACAGTGTGTTTGAGTTTGGTGCCTATCCAAGCGAACATGTGGTTAAGTTTTCATCACAGTTTTGACACACATTAGATTAACTTCACTTGAGAATTCTTATTCTTCCCTGTAGGGATCAAGAACTGGTCTCCACTAAAATGTGTTTAAATTACCTAAGTCCAAACTGCAAAGAATTTGGACACAATAATTATTCATTCAGTCCTCAGCTGTGAGAGCTGAAGGTAAGGTAATGCTGCTTCTCACTTATGGTCTCCTGGCGACCCCACAAACACACCACCGCCTAAGATGGTGGAGCTTCCATCCTAAATCCTAAGAAAATCCCTCAGTGTTAACTGCCCAAGTCAGAGACAGACCTGCTCCCTCTCTTTAGATATAACATTCTGGAAGCTAAACAGGGAAAGGCATACATGAGCCAAAACATAGAAAATGGAAAGAAACAGGCAACTATCAACTATGCAAATGAAAGGCGAGGGGAGAGGCTTGTGGCTAAGTGGATGCTGTGTCACAGATATCCACGGCTTACGCGGAAGTGGGCATGGTTCCAGAAAATCACACCTGATTGGGACAAATGCACTTCAGAGAAACTGAGTTCCATACATTCACTGCAGACACACAGATGCATTCACCCCCACACACACACCTTCCACACACTTCTGTTGGTTCTGAGCCTGCATCTCTGTTGAAGGAAGGTTGGTAGGTAAAAGACAGTCAGGAAGGGGTTCCCAACCACTGGGAAGGGTGCTTACAAAGTGACAAATGTGGCTCGTGGCCTGGGAGGCCGCACCACATTCTCTGGGAGGCATCGAGGTCGTCCGTAAGATACCACGTTCCTGCCCAGAGATTAGAGGGACCTAATCTCTATGCACATGAGCTCCAGCTTGGAAACAGCTGATCTCACTTTGGAAGAATTGGGAGGTAGAGCAGGAAAGACCCAGTGAGCAGGACATGCAGAAGTCAGACCCATTCTGATAAATGACTTTGAAAGCTGGCCTCCCTTTGACAGGCAGGGGGCTGGGGGGGGGGGCGCCCAAATACAAACACAGCCACCTGCACTCCTTTTTATTTATAAACTTAAAGCTAATGCTGTTTAACACCCACACTTATGTAAATTGGAATATACGTTTATACCCAGGGTGGTCTACCACCTGCTTGTAAATGCTGCCTGACCTCAGGCTTGGCCAGACAACAGGGGGCGCCTATAGGTACACAAGCCACCTCTCCCCCATGGGTCCCAGCACTTGACTTTTGTCCATTTAAAAAAAAATGTGATATATTTTAGATGTTCATGTTTTAAAATGTACATTTTCATCTGTACAATGTTTACATTGCATGAAAATACAGTTGCCATATAACTGTGTGACTCACAGAGCTTATATAAAATATTAATTCAGACCTTACACATCTTAACAGCCTAAAAGACATCAGCAGAACCACAACGCTCACTGTTAAGAACCCACACAGCTGAAGCAATGAGCATTATCAGGGACGATGAAGAAAGGATATAAGATGTGCTAGCTTCACGGTCAGCCCTAGAGCCAGTACCCAAGGCCCTCTCCTCAACGCCGTTCTATGGCCACTCTACCAGACGTCCTTCCCCTGGGGTCCTTACCTGCTTCTGGAAATCACCTTCAGGAAAACAGGTGCTCAACTGTGACAGGCAGGTTGTGGCCAGGGAGAAGGAGGAAGGTGCAGCCCTGTGGAAACACAGAACCCAGGTCAGGTCACGGGAGGAGGCAGGAGGAGCCACGGCCAGTGCTGTGGGATATAGGCAGATGGCGGGAAGCTTGTGGCCAAGGGCCCTGCACGGTCTAGAAATATCTGTATGTCTGGCCAGCCCAGAAACTTGCACCAGCACCCTGGGATAAGGTGCTGGCTGCAGCTATGCACTGTCATTTCCTGCCAAAGCAGGTCACTACACACCCTCCTCCCCTTGGGTTAGTCACCGAGGCCGATTGAGAGCCGTGCTGGGAGATGTCGAGGACCAGAGTGAATCACTTCCGGGCAGCTGATGGGCAAGTCCTGCACCTGCCCGAGAAGGCATCCCACCCACCAAACAACATGACAAGCCAGGCACAGCTACCTCGGCGCTCCGCCCACTTTGTGCTCAGATTTGCATGGTGTTTGTGTGCCTGGGGAACATCTGTAGTTGTATATGGAAACATAAGTTTACATACACACACACACACACACACACACACACACACCCCACAGATTCAGATAATTTAAAACCTACTAGTCTGGCCACAGGTCTGCTTGCCCCAAACACACCTCTTCTAGGAATCAGAGAACATTCTCTTCTCTTCTTTGGCCTTCCACACACACCCTCATCGTCTGGGTCCTCTGCAGGTTGACCGGGCAGGAGGAAGGATGCTAATGGTGGGTGGAGGTGCAGGCGGGGGGGCCGGAGTCTCGCCTGCCCGTGGCAGCCCGGCCACCCCTCCGCTGCGGCGTGTGGGCCTCAGAGCACTTGGTTTAAAGGTGGACTCCTGGCTCTCAGCCCTGCGGTGAGGACAGATGTCTTTGGATAATTGAGAAGCCTATTCTAGGGGACCAAGGGGAGCTCTGCAACCCATCTGTCTTCAGCAATCTCTGCTACTCACTCACCCAAGAGGCTGAGGAAAATGTGCTTTCCAGAGGAAGTGAGATTTAGAAGCCTCCCCTACAGGGAGATGCTGCTCTGACCCTGGGTCTCTGGTCTGCAGAGCCCTTAGACCAGTGATGGCCCTGGGATGGAAGAGCAGTCACCCACCACTGCCACCCCCCCACCCTCAGCCTACCCTACAGGAAAGACATTTACAACGATTAATTGCTCTTTTACTCCTCTAGACATCAAAGCACTGAAATACCAAGGATCCCTGGGGAACCTTCTACCCAAGTCCCCACATTCCTTCAAAAAGAGATGAAAAGAGACAACCTTCTCCCACTTCTGAGGGGCTTTAATTTTCCAACTATCACAACAGCCAATTAGCCTCCTACTGTCTACAGGGCTCGGACTGTCCAAGAAACAGAGAGGAACCTTGGCTTCATGACTTGAAGGAGAGGGCGCCTATGGGATGTGGTGGCTCCTGATGGGACCATCTGGGGACTCACACCAGCTGTTCCATTTGCCACCCAATGATCAGGTCAATGTTCCCAATTTACAGAGGAGGAAGCCGAGGACCAAAGCTCCTGGGGCCCCAGAGCCGGTGGAGACAGTGAGCACGCTCCCGGAGCTGGACTCTGTTTCCCGTTCTACTCTGTCGATGGTCAGCTGTGCAACCTGAGGTCAGTCACTGCCCTCTGAGCCCTCCAGTTTGCCACTGGTCAAAAGGAAATCAGGACCTCTACCGTGTCCTCCCTCGGAGGACGCAAGGAGATGAGGGCTGGCTTTATGAGTATGAGGCCTGGGCACCGACACAGGTCCGAGCACTCATAAGGGCCCTACTCTTGGTTTAATGCTCTCCTGTTGCCGTCTTACAATTCTGAATAACTCTTTTAACAAGGGGTCCTGCATCGGGTGCCACAAACTATCTAGCCAGTCCAGAATGAGGGAAAGGATGTCAAGTGCTCTCAACTGCCAAGGGGACCGTAACCTTAAGTAGACATGACATGGACTCAGGAAAGATTTACTAGAATAAAACCTCTCTAGGTGAACACAGCCCTGTGTCAGGCTCAGGAAGCAGGAGATACAAAGGTGGGGCTGTGACACTAAGCCTGCCTTCCAGGAGCTTCCAGAATGGTTGAGGAAACCACACTGCACAAGGCAAATGGAAAACAACACAAATAATATGTAACAATGAACCAAAAAGATAGGTCAGGTTAAAAACACAAACACTTCCAAGAGTGCCAACTGCACGTAACGTGCCGTGCCCAGCACCTCCCCCTGAGCAGCTCAGAGGTGAGAGGAAAAAACCCAGGGCCTCGACCCAGTGTAGTTAAGTGGCAGAGTAAGGGGATGTGCAAAGCTCTGTGGCAACACAGAGGAAGGGGAGGGACCAGCTCCTAGCAGAAGACCCTGAAACTGGGTCTTGAAGGATGACTAGTAGGAGTTTGCTGGTAGAGAAGATGGGGAAGCGCGCTGCAGGCAGAGGGAACAGACATTCTTTGAACAAACAATTACTGAGCATCTGTTTATTATATGCCAGGCCCTGTGCTGGGCACTGAGGATACACAGGCGAGCATGCTTGTGATAATGACTCCCAGTGAGCAGGGGAGACAGGCATGAATCAAGTCACACCCTGGTAAACAGAGCCTCAGATGGTGATAAATGATGGGGGTCAGGGGTCGGGGGTGGTAAGTGCAAGGTGCCCTAGGACGCGCAGCTGGGAATCTGACCTCACCCTGGGGGCAGGCACCCTTGGAGGTGACTTCTGAGCTGTTACCCAGGCCAGGAGGAGCTGGGTTGGGGGACACACACACACACGTGTAAAGGTCCTCAAACAGGAAGAGACTGGGCCTTTGGGAAAACTGGAGAAAGAAGGTGTAGCTGAGGCCAGGGAGGCAGGTGAGGGGGCTCAAGGTACTGGACCACATGGGTCTCGGGCGGGGTGAGGAGAGGTTCAAGCGGGAGAGTCGGGTAAAGCCTGAGACCCCTGTGGCTGTGGCGTGAGGGCTGCGGTGTGAGGAGAGATGGGGAGAAGCTGGAGGGGAGGTCCCTGCTGGGCCAGATGAGGGCCGGGCTTGGGCTGCGGGGTGACGGAGAAGGGAGGGACGGTGAGGGTGGGAGGGCTTGGGACACTTCGGCAGGTGGAACTGAGGGACAGGAGCAGTGTCGGAGCCTGGACTGCACTTCGGCTGCGGGAGGGGGTGTGGGTGTGATGTGCCAGCTGCCGGTCTGCTGGTGACGGCCCTGAGGACAGGCCAACAGCTGGGGCTGGGCTCCCAGGGCCACGGAGAAGCCCCTGGGTGGAAACAGAGCAGGCTCGTCCTTCAGATGAAGTCGGTATCACCGTGCACATCCACAAAGCGTTCTGGAGACGGAGTCAGAACGTGGTGACTGACCAGATCCGGGAAACGTCTGGGGCACTTCTAGGAGACGCTGCGCTGGATGGGGCGGGGGGCTGGGGCGGCACTTTGGGAAGAAGGAGCGACATGGGTGATGGCGAAGAACTGACATCCTGGCATGTCACGTACCAGCCGTGTGGCCTTGGGGAACGCATTCATCCATGCAATCAACAGACGTTCTGAGCACTCACTGGGACTGGGATACAGCAGTGCAAAAACAGGCAAAAGTCCCTACGTACATTCTAGGGAGAAGGGAGAACAGACAAAATGAAATAAGCAAGAAGTAATCAGTGGGTAAATAACCTAGTAAGGAGGAAGGAGATAGGTACTCTGATAAAAAACCGAGCTGGCTGAGAGGAAAAGGAGGTGTCAGTGGTCAGGTGAGCAGGTGAGCCAGGGGAAGCCTGGGGGAGCTGGACTGGGGCCCTGGGCACAGTGGGAGGGACACCAGCGAGGGGAGGAGGGGGAGGGGAGCAGATCAAAGGAAGGATAAGGGTGGGGGTGGTGAGGAACACGACCTCCTTCCATGTTCCACGTGCTGCCCGGAATGCTTGGTTTCTCAACCTCAGCACTAGTGACATTCTGGACTGGATACTTCTCTGTTGCGGTGACTGTGCCACCCATGGGAGGTTATTTAGCAGCATCCCTGGGCTCTACCAGCCAAAAGCACCTCCCCCTTGGTTGTGACAACCAAGCATGTCTCCAGACTTTGCCACGTGCTCCCTGGGGGGTAAAATCCCCCCCAGGTGAGAACACTGCTTTAAAGAAACAGCTGACATATATTCTGGCTTGCTGTTGGCCGGGCGCTGTTCTGAACCCTCCACGTATATGAATCATTCAGTCTTTGCAACAAGCATCCCTATAAGGTTTTACAAATGAGGGCACTAGTCTATGCTCACCCAGCTAGCCCGTCCTAGTCCGTTCTGGGGCAGGATTCGAACCCAGAACGTCCAGGCTCCCCCCCCATGCTACACTGCTCTCCAGTAAACAAGTAAGTGGACAGAAACGTGCTCAGCAGAGGAAGGCAGCCCTGAGCCTCATCTGCAGCCCGGGCTGCGAGTCCCACTTGGGGTGGCACCTCAGGTCTCCCAGCGACATCAAAGCTGGGGCACCAGAGAGAACTGCCACAAGCCCCACTCTCAGTAATTAAACCGCAACCTCCCGGACTCTAGGGCCTCGTGAGCAACCACCTTAACTAATAAATTCCACATTTTGGCCTCCTCCACCCAGACCCAGGCTCGGCGTTCTTGAACCGCACTCCACCAGCAGGAGCAAAACAGGTGTAATGACGGCTCTGCCGCTCAGGACGCAGCACCATTCTTAGGTGATGAGCTTGGGATAAGGAATTTGTCCTGAGGTCACCAACCCAAATTCCAACCTGCCCCAAATCTCCTTCCTGCTCTGTGAAGCCAGGTGAAGTTGCAGGACAACAGTGATAATTACTGTGGTTGCTAGAGCATTACTAAGGGCCAGGCACAATGTCAGGCCTGTTCAGCACATGGGGTCCTCACGACAAGCCTGCAAGGCAGGAATTATTCCCATTTTATAGATGAGACAACCAACGCTCAGAGAAGATAAGTAACCTGCTCAAAGCCATGGAGCTAACAGGTGACAAGCCTGGATTTGAAAATCCACGCTTTCTCTCCATCCTATCAGCCCCGTCCAGTTCAGAAGCTGATAGAAACATTAGCCATTTTATTTTATTTTATTTTATTTTTTTGGCCACGCCCCATGGCATGTGGGATCTTAGTTCCCCAACCAGGGATCAAACCTGTGCCCCCTGCACTGGAAGCGCAGAGTCTTAACCACTGGACCGCCAGGGAAGTCCCATTAGCCATTTTAACTGAAATTGAAATGAAAACCCACTTTACAGGGAAAAGACAAGCCAGAACCCAAAATAACTGCTAATCAGAACATGAAATAAGGCAGTATAAGAACTAAATACAGGGAATGGTTCTTGATGGAATCCAGGGAGGGGAGAGGTGAGGGAGTCATAGGCTGCTATTGGGCAACTGGAGAAAATTTAATAGGGAGTATTTATTAGATATTAGTATTGTATCAATGTTATATGTGTTGAATGTGATGAATATATTGTGGATACGTTGGAAAATATCCTGGTTCTTGAGAGATACAGGCTGAGTATTTAAGGGTGAAAAGTCTCAATGCTTGCAACTTACTCTGAAATGGTTCTGGAAAAAAAGTGTGTGTGTGAGTGTGTGTGTATATGTATGCATGTGTGTGAATATATGTGCGAGCATGTATATGTGAGTGTGTATGTATATAGCAGTGTGTATGTGTGAGTGTTGTATGTATATGTGTGTGTTTGTATTAGTGTGTATGTGTATGTTATTGTGTATGTGTGTATGTGTGTGAGCGTGTATGTGTATACGTGTGTGTTATTGTGTGTGTGAGCGTGCATGTGTAAATGTATGTGTTATTGTGTATGTGTATCTGTGTGTGAGCGTGTATGTGTATATGTATGTGTTGTTGTGTATGTGTGTGTGTGTGTGTGTGCGCGTGTGTGTGTGTGTATGTGTTATTGTGTATGTGTATGTGTGTGTTTATGCATGTGAGTGTGTATGTGTATGTGTGTATATGCTTGTGTTAGTGTGTATGTATATGTGTGTACGTGTGTGTGTGTGTTAGTATGTGTATATGCGTATGTGAGTGTTTGTGTGTGTGTACATGTGTGTGAGCGTGTCTGTGTATATGTATGTGTTTGTGTTAGTATGTGTATGAGTGTGTGTGTATGTGTGTGAGTGTGTTTATGTGTATATGTGTATATGTGCGTGTTTGTGTCTGTATATGCGTTTGTTACTGTGTACGTGTGTGAGTGTTTATGTGTATGTGTGTGAGCGTGTATGTGTATATGCATGTGTTAGTGTGTGTGTGTGTATGTGGAAATGTGTGTATGTGTGAGTGTGAGTATGAACAGAGACAGTGTGTGCGCAAATACGGCAAAGGTTAACACTGGTGAATCCAGGTAAAGGGCACAGGTGTGTTCACTGCACTATTCCAAGTTTTCTGTAGATTTGAAATCAAAATTAAAGGTCAGGAAAACATTAAAAAGCCCCTGGGAAGTGGGGTCGCAGCAGGAGAGGCTGCAGTTGCTCTGGAGGCCCCAGGGCAGCCCTCATCCGCGGGGGAGCAGCTGGGAAGCCCAGACACCAACAGGCCCTCCTCCCCAGCCGCAGGTCTGCTGCACAGGAGATTCCGGAACTCTCAACACCCACCCTCCCAACACCTCCTACCTCAGAGCTGCCACCTGCCCCTTCACAGCAACAGGGCACTTTCTCTTCCAGGTGTGAGCCGCTCTGATGGAGGCCCTTCGGTGAACTTCTCGAAGCATTAAAATCAAATCCACATGACATCATTCAAAACCGCCCAACATCCAGAGCGCAGCCACCCTGCCTGGCTGCCCAGACAACAGGGGGAAAGGCATCAACAGAGAAAACCAGCCAGCCCGGGAAGGGGGCTTCGGGGTGCACCTTCCTTTCCGTGGCCTGACTCCCCTCGGAGAGAGCCTGCCAGCCACTCTTGCACATGGAGCGTCACACAAACCAGAGGACACGGGGGCAGGCACAAACCTGCACGCTAGACAGGAAGGGGCTCCCTCCACTGCACCCTCGGGCAGGGGCGGGCAGGCAGCCCCTGGCCATCCACCACGGTCCCTGCTTGGTGCTGGTTCTCAGATGGGGGCACTTGGCAATGTCTGGAGAAAGGAGGATTTTTGATTGTCACAACTGGGAGGATGCTCCTGGGAAGAACCACCTACAGTGCACAGGACGCGCCCCATCCCCCCAGCCCCACGCCCATAGTGCCAAGGATGAGAAGCCCTGCCGGGTGGCCACCTTCATTACCACTTGCACCAGGCTCATTCAGCATCTCCGGCCTTCACATCTGCTGTACCCTCAGCCTAGAATGTTCCTCCCTATTTACTGTTCACTGTTCAATCGTTACTTTTTTGAAGCCTGTGTTTGCACACTCACCCAAATTTCCTCTACTCAAAGCATTGCACAAGCACTGCACCTGGGTGTCTGTGCCTCTATTTCCACCTCCAAACTGGAAGCTCTCTGAGGGCAGGCCACAGGGTGGTTTAAGTCCTTCGTGGGCCCAGGCAGCCTTATTCTCACAGACATATTAAAATGGACCCAGGGACCTCCCTGGCGGTCCAGTGGTTAAGACTCCGCGCTGCCAATGCAGGGAGCCCAGGTGCAGTCCCTGGTCAGGGAACTAGATCCCGCATGACGCAACTAAAGATCCTGCATGTCGCAACTAAGACCCGGTGCAGCCAAATAAACAAATAAATAAATAATAAAATGGACCCATATCTCTCATTAAATAGAATTCTCATATAACTCCTATGAGTAGAGGGAGCAGATACTTTTTCTTTTCAGATCTCCAGTATTTTTGTGGACCCTCGAAAAGCTTGAAGACCGTAGGCTCTGTGCTGAGGAATCTGGTGGGTTCCTGCTGCTGTCAGTCACATCTGGAGTCCCATGCACAGTTAAGTGAATGAACAGATTTCAGATTCACCTGGGAACCACGAAGGAAGCCCCCAGCCTCAGAACGTCCTCACCTCAGAGAACCTAAGACATCAAGGAACTGAAGGAGCCTGCATGTACAGACTATAAATGTTGATGTAACTGGATTGGTAAAAGCCGTCTGTTTAAAACTTCTGGGGACTTCCCTGGTGGTCCACTGGTTAAGACTCTGCGCTTCCACTGCAGGGGGCCCGGGTTCGATCCCGGGTCAGGGAACTAAGATCCCGCATGCGGCACGGCCAATAATAATAATAATAATAAAAACAAAAACTTCTGGTTAAAAAAAAATTTTATCCTGTGATTTTGGCCTGATTGGTAGAAAAGGTTACCCAGAGCTCACTGTCTCTTCAAGTCCTTTTTACAGCTAAGCTAGAGTACCTGGCAGGCCTGCTCTGACAGCCTCCGCGGTTCAGCCAGCACAATGCAAACAGGAAGGGAACACGGAGCCCGGCGAAGTTTCCTCGGCTGCACTGGGACACTCGGATCCCAGGCGAAGTCCTTAAGCTCTGTAGTTCTTACCGAGGGACGTGCAGGTGGTGGTTGTATCCCTGCACAGCAGGGGGACAAGGACAGAAGGAAAGAAAGGCATCTTCTGACCTAATTTAAAAAGAGATTCTTTTTTCCTTCCCAGAGAACAGCTGGAGCCCTGGAACCTGGCCAAGCCGGAGCCTGAGACCTGAAATCAGGAACCAGTGCGCCTACAAAATCCGGCTCCGGATTTTCCTCTGATTCAGTCTGACCTTTGGCCTCTTGCAGGTTCCAAGGGGGTGGGTAATGCAGACTCCAGAGCCCTTGTCTATTTATGAGTGGGTGTAAGGGCAGGCACTCCCAGCGCTTGAGCGGGTGCAAGCACCGCCTCCCACTCCTAGGCAGGCTCTCTCAAGCTGGACGGCCTTCACCGTGGGCTGAGCGGCACCTGGCAGTGTCAAAAGCTCACCTGTGCAGGCTGGTGGCAGAAGGACACCTTTTCTCTCCTGTGACCTAGATCAACATCTGAGATGCCCCCAGCGTGCTGACAACCCACCACCACCACCACCCCAAAGAGAAAACTCAATCTGCATTGCTGGTCAGCCTTCTTAGGGATCAGGCTGAAGTCAAATTTGGGCCAGAAGGACCAGTTCCAAGCCTAATAATCCCAGGGAAGGAGCCTGGCCAGGTTTCACAGACCTTGGGTCACCTCCAGAGAAAGAGGCCAGAATGGAAATTTTAACCCACGGAAGCTCCATCAACCCCACTGCCCACAGCTAGGCCAATTCTTACAGGGTCACCATTTAAAACGTTAATTAAATTGGGAAATTTAAAAGTTGTTGTTTTTTGGTGGCGGGGCTGTTTTTTTTTTTTTAAAGAGGAAGGGGAAAAACTGACACAGTGCTGTTTATTTATCAGGAGCTACATAAGGTCCCTTCACTCAGAGCCAGATGGGCTCGTTCACACCAGCCTCCTGCCGAAGGGGACAAGCCTTGTTCTCAGGGGCAGGCCCAGATAAGGCGGCCCAGGTCTTCCGATGCCTGCCAGCAGGTGGGCTGCTCAAGGACCACCGCCCTCTCCAGCTCTGCCCCCACTATCCCTCCATCCCTTCCCTCCGTTGAAGTCTCCTATAACTGGTTCAAATAAATAAGTTTCCCGGACCAGGCTCACTGTATCCCCTCAGAATGGGGCCAGAAAGGCCTCCAGCTTCCTGTTGCGAGAATTAGGTCCTGAAACCAATTGGGATGCTCGCAGGGCGAGGGCTCAGTCTCCCTGGGGTGGCCTCCAGAGCCAGCCCCCTCCTCACTGCCCAGCTCTGGGGATGGCTGTCCTCAGGACCCAGCTGAGAGGCCCCAGGCCTGGCTTCCTGGGTGAAGCTTCTCATAAACTCTTAAGAACATAAGTTTTAGGATTACTGCCTCCTCTTTCCTATAGGCTTTCAGCGTACAGGTACGTGTTAATTTGCATAAAAATAAAGCTATGTTTGTTTACCTCGAACACATATCCATACTACTGCAATACACTGCAAGCATTCATTACACCCTCATGTCACATAAGCCACACTGTTTGTTTGTTTGGATAACTGCTTCTGCTCCGTGACACAGGCCGTGACCTTCCCTCTCCTTTCCCTCCAGCCACCTCAGAACAAAAAATAATCCAAGGAAGAAGGAAACCTCCCCCTAAGAGGCTGCTGAACACTCAGTTTCCTTCCTCCCTAAATGTTTAACAAGCTAATAATCAAAATAAAAAAGATTTTAAACCGAGGCAACCTCAGAATCTACATGTGTTCATTCCATTAACTTGCTGGGGAAGTAGCATGAAGATGAGAACTTCTGATGGGTCACAAAACTCATCCAGTCTGGAGACAATGACGCTGGAGGCTGGAGGGGAAGGGAGGGATGATCAGGGAAAATGCACAGGCTCTGAGGAGACGGGAAAACACAGCGCCCCAAACAGCAGGAATCCACCCACAGTCACCTGCTCAGGGCCAGGGCCACTGTGGAAGAGCTCAGGAGAGTGGACAGAAATGGATGGGAGGCCTTAGGGTCCTGTGTGGAAAGCTCTAAGAAAGAAACTACCCCCAATCCCAGTGGGCTGCACACAAACACCCAGACCAGTGTAGGGGAGGAAAACTTTTTCCTTCTTCCCTTTAAGGTCTTTGGTTGGTCTAATAATTAAATTGACAGGAGACATTAACAAGAGAAAAACAAATTTAATTTCATACATATGGGAGCCCCAAAGATATGTGGCTTGAAGAAGTGACCAGAGCAGGCATCTTTTATATCTTTTAGACAAAGAAACGATAAATTTGTGAAGAATTGACAAGACAAAGAAGCTTGGGCTTGGGGTAGTAAATTAGTGAGGAAGTAACAAGGTTTGTTTATACAGCCTTCTCAGCCTTGAATCCCCTGTCTCTGGTGATAAGGATGCCTTCTACCCCCTGGTACAGGGAAGGTACCTTTCACATGGGAGATTTATTTCCTGCTTTCAGGGGGATAAAGGAGGGTCAGAGGGCCCTTCTTGCACTGGCTGTTTCTCAGGAAACTATAATTCAAAATAATCAATATGCCAAAGTGGTATATTTTGGGATGGCATATTCTGCTCCCCACCCACTCAGCACGCCCAGATAATCCAGTTCAGAAGCCAAAGCCCCATCATCCATTTGTAATGACATCCTCCACCCCGAAAGCCATGAAACCATTAGTCACCAAGTCACAGAGACGGAGAAGAAGCTCCCAGCAAAACTGGCCTGCGAGCGCTCCCCTGGCAAAAAGACTCCTGGTTTTACAGGCCAGCTATTCACCTCAGACTGTCAAATTTCATAAAATGAAACCCAGGACCTTTCACAAGCCCATATCCACAAAATGCAAGCAAAATCTGACCTCCTGCAAAAACTCAGTTGAGAGGAAAAAGCTTATATGGAGGTTCAGGAGAGAGAGAGGTTAGTTACACTACACATTAGTTTGATGGTATTCCTGAGGATTAAGACTTTAAGTCTCAGAGAACTAAACTTCCTTGCAAATTTACCTGGAGCACATGACACAATGTTAAAACAAAACAAAAACAGAAAATATAGGCACCAATGCACTGGTTCTTACCTGCTTCTAGAAAAGTCATGTAAGTCTGCCAGAAAGATACTCAGTCATAAGACTTCCAAGTCCCAAATAGAATAACTCACCCAAAAAAGAAGTTCCAGGACTTCCCTGGTGGCACAGTGGTTAAGAATCCGCCTGCCAATGCAGGGGACATGGGTTCGATCCGGTCCGGAAGATCCCACATACCGCGGAGCAACTAAGCCCGTGCCCCACAACTACCGAGCCTGCACTCTAGAGCCCACGAGCCACAACTACTGAGCCCATGTGCCACAACTACTGAAGCCTGGGTGCCTAGAGCCCATGCTCCGCAGCAAGAGAAGCCACCGCAATGAGAAGCCTGTGCACTGCAACAAAGAGTAGTCCCCGCTCACCACAACTAGAGAAAACTCGTGCACAGCAACGAAGACCCAATGCAGCCAAAAAAAAGAATTTTTTTAACAAGTTGCTGAGCATTTAAATTTTCTGTCTTTTATTATTGTTTTTGAATATTTTTTAACATTTATTTTATTTAATTTATTTATTTTTGGCTGTGCTGGGTCTTTGTTGCTGCGCGTGGGCTTTCTCCAGTTGTGGTGAGTGGGGACCACTCTTCGTTGTGGTGCACAGGCTTCTCATTCTGGTGACTTCTCTTGCTGCAGAGCATGGGCTTCAGTAGTTGCGGCATGCAGGCTCAGTAGTTGTGGTGCACGGGCTTAGTTGCTCCACGGCATGCGGGATCTTCCTGGACCAGGGCTCGAACCCACGTCCCCTGCATTGGCAGGCAGATTCTTAACCACTGCGCCACCAAGGAAGCCAATTTTTTTTTTTTTTTTTTTTGGGGCTCGGGGGTCCCATTCCCCGACCAGGGATTGAACCTGGGCCACAGCAGTGAAAGTGCCGAATCTTTTTTTTTTTTTAATTTATTTATTTGGCTGCTCCAGGTCTTAGTTGTGGCACGTGGGATCTTTAGTTGCGGCATGCATGCAGGATCTTAGTCCTCTGACCAGGAATCGACTCAGGCTCCCTGCATTGGGAGCATGGAGTCTTAGCCACTGAACCACCAGGGAAGTCCCGAAAGTGCCAAATCTTAACCACTAGAGCACCAGAGAACTCCCTCTCTTTCATTGCTATTAAGAAGCAGTATTTTCCTATATGCATCTTTTTTTTTTTGCGGTACGTGGGCCTCTCACTGTTGTGGCCTCTCCCGTTGCGGAGCACAGGCTCCGGACATGCAGGCTCAGCGGCCATGGTTCACGGGCCTAGTCGCTCTGCGGCATGTGGAATCTTCCCAGACCAGGGCATGAACCCGTGCCCCCTGCATCGGCAGGCTGACTCTCAACCACTGCACCACCAGGGAAACCCCTACATGTATCTTTATGCTTTTGTCTGTCTATAGGATAAATCCCTACAGTCTTAGTTGCTACAGCAAAGGGTGCATGTGTTTAAATGTTTAATATTTTGCCTAGTTGCCCTCCATGGACATGGTGACCTTTTATGTGCCCACCAAAATGGTGCAAGAACACCTGTTTTCCCCCATACCTTGGCAGAAGTTGATTTGTTGCTAATCTGATAGGTGGGAAGTGGTATATCATTATAGTTTTAATTTGCATTTCCTGATGAGGAAATAGAGCATCATTTCAGATCATTAAGAGCAATCTGTTATGTTGTTTGCCCATTTCTTTCTTGGGTTGGCAGTCTTCTTCTTGTTGATCTACAAGTGCTCTTTATATATTAAGGCAGTTTGTCCTATGGCTCTGATATTTGTTACACGTATTTCCCCAGTTTGTCATTGTTCTTTCGATTATATTATTTTATCCATGTAGAGTTTTGATTTTTATGTAATCAGATTTTAACATCTTTTATTTTATAACTTACAGATTTCATTTCATATTATTTCCTTCTCCCACTGTTTTCTTTTAATATACTTACTATTTTGTACTTTTAAAACTTTGCTCCATAACTGAGTGATCCACAAACCCAGCCTCACCAGAAGCGGGGCAGGTTGGCATTGTGTGCCTCCAGTGGGACGTGGACAACATCAGCTGCAATCATCTCTCACCAAAATGTTCACCTTTACTCCAATTCTAAGGAAAACCAGACTAATAGTCAATAGTCCTGGACTTTAAAAAATGTTAATGTCGTGATAGACAAAGAAAAGCTAGTGAACACTCTAGGCTAAGGGAGAGGAAAGAGCTTGGGAACCTAGTGAAGTTGAGATCTTCAGTTGGATCCCAGATTAAAAACTGGTGCAGGCCAAAGTGAGGGGCGTGGTTGGGAAAGTTGGATGTGGGCTGTATATCAGAGAACACTGCTGGGTCAATAGTAAATTCCTTGGGGCTGAAAACAGTATTGGGATAATGTCAGAGCATGGCCTTAGGAGATGCAAAGTATCTGATACCTGCAACTTGCTTTTTTTTTTTTTTTTAATAAGGGCAGCTCTTCAGCTTTCTTTTTTTTTTTAAATAAATTTATTTTTGGCTGCATTGGGTCTTCGTTGCTGTGCGAGGGCTTCTCATTGCGGTGGCTTGTCTTGTTGCGGAGCACGGGCTCTAGGAGCACAGGCTTCAGTAGTTGTGGCACACGGGCTCAGTAGTTGTGGTTCGCGGCTCTAGAGTGCAGGCTCAGTAGTTGTGGCACATGGGCTTAGTTGCTCCGTGGCATGTGGGATCTTCCCGGACCAGGGCTCAAACCCGTGTCCCCTGTATCGGCAGGCGGATTCTTAACCACTGCGCCACCAGGGAAGCCCACAACTTGCTTTCAAATCGCTCAGTATAAGTATAACCAATCAAAAGAATGCCAGGGAACCATTAAAAGGAGTGGGGTAGCTGTAAATGACCTCAGACATTAACTTAATGGCTCTGTGCCTCAGTTTGCTCATCTGCAAACTGTGGACAATAACAGTCCTTAGTTCACAGGTTTGTTGTGAGGAATAAATGCATTAACATAAGCAAAGCACTTTTAACAATACCCAGCACAGGGGAAGTGAAGCAGTATTAGCCAAATGATGACGACGATGATGATGGTGGAACAGAATGAGTTCCAGTACTTACCGTGAAGTGAAAAAAGTAAGGTGCACGACAGTGTGTATTACAGTGTGGAAAAAAAATAATGCACGTCGGGCACGTGTGCAGTCAGCGCGTACCTGATGCACTTGTACGTGTGTAGGAGGTCTCTGGTTAAGATGCACAAGACATCCACTAACAGGTGTCTTTTTCGAGGCGTCTCTTTCAGGGAGGGAAGAAGACTTAGTTTTCAACAATTAGCCTTTTGAGTTCTGTACTATGTATATATTACCTACTCCAAAAAATCCCAACGGTATATATATATATATATATATATATATATATATATTTTTTTTTTTTGTGGTACGCGGGCCTCTCACTGTTGTGGCCTCTCCCGTTGCGGGTCACAGGCTCCGGACGCGCAGGCTCAGCGGCCATGGCTCACGGGCCCAGCTGCCCCGCGGCATGTGGGATCTTCCCGGACCGGGGCATGAGCTCGTGTCCCCTGCATTGGCAAGCGGACTCTCAACCACTGCGCCACCAGGGAAGCCCCCAACGGTATATTTTTTAAAGGACGTGGAATGGGGTCAGAAGAGGAGAATAAAAGATCTTCCTCCACTTTGGTGGCTGGTTGCCCGGCCAGCCAGTCCAGTGCCGTGGCCGCTGTTGAGCACCCAAGCTCTGCCACCATCGCTCACAGGCCTGCGAGAGCTCTTCTCTTCCTCGGAGACGGGAGGTGAGGGTGGACAGCCAGTCCCGGAGCAGACGTAAAGTGATGGCTCTCAGGTGGCAGCAGCAGCTTCCCTGGGGTAGGGATGAAGGACTCTGCCCCTGTGCTGGCTGACTCTGCCCCACCACGCCCCACCGTAAGCTCCGGAAGGCTGTTCTGCGCAAGAAAGTAGAGCCAGGGCCCTGGAGAGACGCCCGTAAGCCAGCTGACCAGCCTGTAGGCCCCACCGTGCTCCCCCTAAAAATCACCAGCACCCCATCTTCCTGCAACTCCAGCGATCGGCTGTGGAGCACATAGCGGGAAACGGCGCTCACAGAGGTCTGAGATCACAGCTTAGCGGACCTGACCTTGGCGGTTTCTCTATCACCTCTGCTCCTTCCTT